TAGAATCGGGGCAGTCCAGCTGATGTTCTCCTTACAACACCCAGGGATCTGCTACCTCAGTCATCTGGCTGCTCTGGAACAGAATGGTGCTCATCTGGGACTCCAGGTTCCTAGTCCCTGGTCCAGGCCACCAGCAAGTTCCAGCAGGTTGTGTCAGCATCACTCTCAAATCCGTCCCTTCCTTTCCATTCTTACAGAGCCGGGTGTAACCCGGGCCTTGAATAACACTGCTTCGGGGGTGATTTTTTCTGACTGCAGTTTCTGTCTGTTCTACTCACACTGATACACTGTTACTGGGTTATTTTACTTAAAGTACATTTAAAATATATAGATTTTAAAAAAATTTTAAATGCTTGTCATCACCTATAGGATAGAGTTAAAATCCAGGACCTAGCCTTTTAGGTTTCATAATCTGACCCTCATGTATTCATTCTTTCTTGAATCAGTTAAAGTTTATTGATCATCCACCTGTGTTGAAACCCCAGACATGTGTTTGCCAAGCACATACAATCAAAACTCACTTACTGAGCACTTTGGATTTCTAGGAACTTCTCTGGGTATATTTTATAAACTTACTACCTACATCCTCAAAAAAATCTCTCTGAGGAACATGCAACTGGCAATCCCACTGAATAGATGGAGAAGTAAGGCACAGAGAGGTCAAGTAACTTGGTCAAGGTTACCCAGTTTGAAGAACATAGAGCCAGGGTCTCAACCTCTACTTGCTGCTGCCTTCTGTGAGACAGACTTCGTACCTTCACACCTGTCCTGGGTTTCTGCCTTCCCTCCTATGCCCGTGTAACTCTGCCTCTCCGGAAGCAGCTCCTCATTTTCTGCCTGTACAACTGTTTCTCACTTGTAGATTCCAAAACAGACCCTCCATCTGAGCCGAAGCCACTCTGACACTCCTACTTGTGATGACCCTCCCTCTATGAACTCACAGAACTTAATTTTGTACCCTTCATTTAACATTTAATCACATGCTATTCAGTGAAAAAAATTTGCTTCGTTATTCAATTTTCTGGGGTATTTATAAGCACTCCTTCCTCAAACAGATTATAAATTCACGAAGGCCCAAACAATTGCATATTTCTGTACACTATTCATATGCTTAAGCCACAGTTGTGTACATAGTAGGTGTTCACCAAATGGTTACTGAATGACTTTGGGCCCAGCCTCCTTTAAGAGCTATTCTTATATGAATGATTATGCCTATGATTTTTGGCGAGGCCTTCTTTGCCAAGCATGTCTTTCCTCCTCTTCTTCCTAGAATTAACTTTTACTTATCATCTAGGGCTTAGCTTCGGACTCACATACTCAAGAAGCCTGCGTGGCATCCACCTCCAGGCAGGCTCAGGTGTCTGTCCACTGTATCACCTTAACACTTCATCTTTCTACATCACAATGCATTGAAGGGCTATGCAGGCCTCTGGACCTGTGTTTACGTGGCTGGGCTGTGATTCCCTTGGGGACAAGGACTGTGCCCTTCTGGTGTTATGTTCTTAGTGCTATGAACAATGTTGGTGTATGGAAGTAATCAATGGATACTGATGAATGAACGAGTGGATGAATGAGTGAATGAAGGAGCGAGAGAGCAAATGAACAAAAACAAACAAAGCGATCCTAGTGTATTTCTAGCAGTCTGTACCATGAAGAGAAGTGAGATGCAGAGTGCATCCATGGGAAAATATAAAAATATTAGAAACCCATTCTCAGCTGGTCAAACGCTCAGCTTTATGCCATAAATGGTCTGCCTTTGAGATTTATCCAGGAGAAATTGTCCATGTTCAAGTTGCACTCACAGGTGGGATTAAAAGGACAGCAAGCATTTCACCAACTTCTACTGCATGAGTTGGACACTTTCCAGTTGTTAGAGGAGGGAGAAACAGTTCTAGATGATTCTTCCGAGGATGAGATGTGATGGTCTCATTTGATATGCTTACTTTGCTGACAGCTCTGGCCCCAAGCACCTTCTCTTCTGCTCGGGGACTGCCCATTGTTCTCTAGTGCGTGATTAGCAGATTAGCTTTCGTGTAAGAAGCCAGGAAAATGAAGTCCCAGTAAGCCCTTCCAAAGCAAGAGCAATTCATTACCCAACCTGATTTCCACTTAAAATGTACTTTAAGCACACTTCCAACTACAAACCCTAAATCACCGTGTATTCACAAAGTCCATCATTTTTTATTTTATGGCAGGGCGTTGGTGTGACATAATCCCTTGCTGAGCATCTTGGAGTGCTTTACAGATCAATAAATTACTTACCTGCGCAGTCGAAGCAACGCCTGCAAAGCCAACACGGTCATTCATTCTGCAGGCCACCTGTCCTCCAGGAAGCGAGCATCCCTGTGTGGGTGCCAGGGATGGGCAGGAGCAGGGCAGGGAAATGGGGGGACTGAGCTACTGCTGGGTCAAGAAGCAAGTGTTCCAGTTAAAATTCTGAATAACGTCAATCGAGTTTAAATGATTTTAGAACTAAGAGAGTTTAGAAATTTAGATTCTTCAGACAGCCAGCAAATCAGGTGTTCTGTCAATAACTCATCAATTACTTTTCTGTCCTGGAAGAGTCAATCTAGCTTTTAAAATGATGTGGCCTTACATTGCATTATTATGCCTTAGAAGTCCTGGACTGTAGAGCTGAAGGCCACTCTTCCACCCTCACTGCACTGATGCTCCATTGTGTGTGTGCTACCAAACACCTGTGAGAGTGCAGGTAACTCTGCCTCTCCACCTGAAGCTTGATGTGAATTTAAGAATCGAATGATTAATTGATGCTTACTTTATGGAAGATACCCTCCCTATTCAGGCTGGCAGAAACTTTTTAAAAACATGAGTAAGACTCTTGCTCAATGTCTTATATTCCGATAATTCATAGCATAGGAGAAAGATAAGACAAGTGTAACTTAAGAGAGTTCATGTTAAAAACTTCGAAGAAAGCTGTGGGATCCCCAGGAAGGAAAAGTCATGTCCTCAGGGTGATCGCCCGGGAGACCTTCTAGCAGGTCTGGTAACACAGCCGGGCCTTGACCAATTCCAGTAGGTGCAGGTAGCTGGAGAGAAGAGTCTAAGTAATCACAATCGGCATCATTGGCATGAGGATAAGGAAACAGTGGGGAACCCATGCTTACTAATGAGTATTCCAGTTGTGTGTGCGTAGAAGGGAAAGGAAGAAAAGTTCAAGGAAAAGGAGGAAAAGGAACGAAGGCCACAGGAAGAAGATATCTGCATGCTATTTCTTTTTTGTGAAGAAGGAAATCCAATACAGTTAGGAATAAAAGATTAATCATTCAGGTAGAGGAAAGGTGAGCACTGACACTTCCAACCAATCTGAGTTTTGTGTGAGGGTTGCACTCCGGCCTTGCAACAGGGCATACAGTTCCTGTTCCTCTCAGCTGGGGTCTCCAGCAGGCCAGACGGCGTGGTACGCTGGGTGTGTGATGTGCCCTGGAATTTCACACTGCAGTGACTCAGATGAGTGCTTGTTTAAGGAAAGAAACAAAGGCGAAGAAACTTTAAAGAGTTGGACGCAGGCACCACTTAATTTGCAAAGAATTAATGAGTCGAATCCACATTCAGTAGAACTGAAAGAGTGTGTGTTAATAATCCAGTTCTGAGGTTGTTCTAAAGAAGCAGCAGGTTGGGAAGGTGGTTTCCTTGAACAACCATGATAATTCCATCCTATAAATATCAGCTGAGCTTTTACTTTGGATGTAAATATAAGTAAGTCATAGCTCAGGTCATCAAAAAGCTCGTGGTCTAGTGGCAGACAGATGCTAAGCCAGTGACCATAACACAGTGGGATAAGTACCAAGAATCAGAGTTGGGGGGGTTTGCCTAACAAATGACACTCTCACCGTAAAAGCCAGTTGGCAGACAAATGAGTAGTCACACATGAACCGAATAGCACATTCATTAGTTTTAAAGATCATACTGGAGAATTAGGCTTAGATGTATAGCAACAATTTGCTCCTAATTCTGAACCCCCAAAGGAGACAGGGGCATACAGGTACCGCTGGCTGTGATGTGGACTGAACCTGCCCTGGGAGACATCGCCCTGTGTCACACAACAGAACGTAGCTTCCTAAGGGAAGTCTGGCTCCCAGACTGAAGACTGAGCTCAGTGGGGTCCTGTCCCCAAATCGACTAATTAAAATGAAACTTTCGCATCCTTGGAGGGATCTATTCAAGGGACAGAGAAAAAGACTAAAGATGTCTGGCTAACTGAAATTTTTTTTGACTCGGCATCAGGCCTCTTAGAATACGGATGAGAAGCAAAAGTCACTTAGAGTTGTGCAGGAGGGAAAGGAGGAGTAGGGGTCGGAAAAGCTGCAGCAAAGTGGCATTCGATTTGGATTGTAAAGTATGACTGAGAGTTTCTAGGAAGGACATAAAAATAATAGTTCCCAAATGCTTAATGACCAGAAAGGACGTGATGTATTGGCGATGATACATTGAGGATACAATGTATCATTGAGGGGATACATTGAGGAGGAAATGGTGGGGATATCAATGGAAACCTAGGTTGATTCTTGATTCTGAATGTGGGCTGTGCTAGGATAAAGCATGTGGATGTTATCGGATGGGCAGTAGGAAACAGCTGGAGGTGTTTAGGCAGAGATGTGCTATGATCAGAGTTGCATTACAGCAAGACGACTCTGAGTGCAGTGTGCAGAACGACTGGTGCATGCATGTCGATGGGGGTTGGTGGGGAGTGTGCAGATAGGAAGAGGGTGGAGGTGAGGAGCACAGTTACCGCAGTATTGCGTCGGAATTGGTTCCCACCCACACTTCCTGACTTTGGGTTTAAATGAGAGGAAATAGCAGCAAAATTCAAGGTAAGATGCTTCTTTTGTGTTTAAGATAATTCTTCTAATTTCTCATCATTTATTTTTATAACCCCTCTGCTTCAGTCCCTGGGCAATTCTGCCAACTATCATTTTTAAGACAACAAAGAAATGCTTCACAGGATATTTATTTTCCTCCTACTGTTTTTGTCTTTACAGTATCTCCCAAAATTGTAGAGATTTCTTCAGATATCTCCATTAATGAAGGGAACAATATCAGCCTCACCTGCATAGCAACGGGTAGACCAGAGCCTACGGTTACTTGGAGACACATCTCTCCCAAAGGTAAGAGAGCCGTTTGGTATGGTGCGTCATAAAGGGATTGGGGGAACTCCTGTCCATGGCTAGGAGGCTATGGTGCTGGCAGCTTCATCCACGGATCCTTCATTGTTGGTAGCCTTGTGACCATGCTTGTGGCTCTGCAGGGAACTTTGGTGTTCTCTGAAAGACAGGCATGTCCTCTAAGGTTTCAGCAGTTATACCTGAAGCTCTCTCTAGTCCCTGGGAACTGAATCCCAGGTGCCAGTGGATGCGCCAGTGATAAGATGTTCTGGGAGAATTTCGTTGGCCATATTTGATGTTGGAACAATTGGCTTTGGTGGCATTGTTCAGCTGGTTGCTTTAAGAGATGGAAAACACAAACAGGAAATAATGAGGGAGAGCATTAAATGACCATATTCCCAAATGGAAAACTTCCGCATCTGTGCTTCTTCAGCCGTGCCAAATATCAGTCTCTGCTGCATCGGTTGGGTTGTGATTTTGTTGTTGTTTTACTGTGATTAGCTCTAGATAACTAAATTGCAAATTGCACTTTGTCTTAATGTTTAGATGTTCTATACACCAGGCTAAGTGTGGTTTTGTGCTTCCGTGGATTGTATGTTCAACTTTTAGAATTTAAGGTCGATGTCATTTATCATGAAGCTCACTTTTGTTCATGTTGCATTAAGTTACTTTATTTGTTCTTCAATATATATTGTTGCTGTGGTCAGGCACACGTCTGAGCCCTGAGAATACAGCGATGGACCAAAGCATACAAGTTTTTGCTCTCATAAGCTCACATTCTCGTGAGAAAAATGACCAAAACACTGAATATATAATATAACAGGTGGTGGTAAGAATGAGAAAATATGGCAGTAGATACTGACAGAAGGAAAAGAGATTTGGTCAGGGAAGGCCTTTGAGAAGGTGACGTTGGAGCAGGGACATGAAGAAAGATCTTTAATTTGTTGCTTATTGCCAGTTGATGTATACATATGGATGTACACCTGAAGATATGTGTATTGCTGAGTAGTAAATGGATTTTAAAGGAATTGTAGTGATAGTTGTTTGCAAGGTGTTGCAGGTTGGGTCCCCCAAAAGCTGACCCAGTGAGGTGATTGCCATGGGAGAAGTTCATCCAAGGTGCTCCTGGAACCAGCCCCTGTGGAAGTGAAGAGAAGGGAGAAGGGTTAGGCAGTTGGCGAAGGTGAGCTGCATTGCTCAAGTCAAGTGGAAAATCTCATCAGCTGACCTTATGGGGAATTCTGAAGCTGAGGGACCCTTCAGAACTGTTCTTTCTTTGAGGTGAGGGGACTGGCCTTTTATACCAGAAAGTCACTACATGTGGGCTGCCTGCAGCGGTGACCTCAGGCCAGGCACCTCTCTGCACAGGAGACAAGCCCCATCTGGCTGTGAGTAAGCTCTGTCCACTGACAGTGTATTCCCCTCCGAGGCAGATATCCTCTTTTCCAGATGTGGCAACACATTATTGTGGCCGCTACACTTGGGCGTCTTAAAATACCAGTGTGGGCTCTGAGTGGGCCCCAAATACCAAATTCTTTCTTTCAGACATTGACAATTTGCCCTGATAGAGGTCCTCAGGGAGAGCATGATATTTTCAGTGTTTGCCCTGAATTCCTGGGAGCGGTACTCATGCCATCGTTCCTGAGGCCACCACCGTGAGCAAAATGATCAGAGAGCCACTTACGTCTGTGCCAGTCTCCTGATTTAAAATGACCTTAAGTATGGACTGGCTCAAAATCCGGCAGGAGGCTTCAGGGACGCATGAGATCATTAGCAGTGGAATGTGGTCCCGGGACGCATCTGAAAGAGGGACCGTGCAAGGGGACAGACTTTCTAAGACATTAACGCATACCCGCCATCACTGCTCAGCGCTGAGTCGCCAGTGCCATTGGACGCCAGGGCAGCCTGTGTCTTTGGAATCTGCAGACACCCATCCTTCCAGGTGGATTTGCTTTGCCTTAGGACAACAGACCCTGCGCCCCTCCCTCCTGCAGGTCTGCCTGTCTCCTGTTGGAGCTCTTTTCTCATCTCCTCCTTGTAGCCTTTGTCCTTTTCTGGGGCTTTTCCTTTTTTTCCCTTCTCTTCCATGTACCTTCTCCCTTTGTCTTGCCTTGTTAGGCTTTTTCCTTTTGTTCTTTGCTTTTACTCCTAAATGTTTCCACTTCAATTTCATTTTTTTCCACATTTTTTCTCCCCCCACCCCTTCTTCACATAATCCCTTTTGTCTTCCCTCTGACACCAGAGCTGTCTGTTTACTTCAAGTTCACACTGTTGTGCCTTAGACTCCTCCTCCCATTTTTGGAAACATCAAGCAGATTCATTTCCCCAGGGCCCTTGACCTGAGTCTGGGCCAGATGCTTCCATTTTACTGGAGTTTTGTTTTTTTTTTTTAGCTGCTATGGAAACAGAAGATGGATCGAGGGGAGAGGAGCAGGATAATCAGAATCTACCTGTGGATCAGTGTAACTGAGATGAGCAATTTTTCCAGATCCCTGGCCCAGATTCACTCTCCTGTATTCAAACTGATAAGACATGCCAAGCAGTAACTAGTCACCTGAGGACTCGCCAGCATGCTGCTTTCCCAGTGACTGATTATCTGGAGATCAGACATGTCATTGGGCTGCTGCCAAATCTGAACTGAGGCTGGAGACCCTTAGCAGTCAGGCCTTTCTCTTTCCCTACCAAGTATTTCCAAAGGATGCTTATTTTTAAACAGGTTAGGACAGGTTTGAGGTTCCTTGGAGAACCAGATATGCTACACCTTAGCAAGGGCTCCAGAGGGAGGGAGCTGCCACCATCCTTTGTCCCATCTGTGTGGGTAGATCACGTCTCAATCAAGACCATTCTCAAGCACACAGCTATGAAATTCCTGAAGGGAAAACTGATCGAGCCTAAGTACCTTTGGTGACTCAGATAGTTTCATGGCATCTTCCCTCTGCAGACTCATCTGTTTGTTCCGTGCACGTCTGAATATCCTAGTTTCCTCCATCATGACTCATGTGTTGCAACTTGCAATTAGGTAAACCACTCTAGAATATGCACTTCCAGTCCTAACCACCTTTTATGTGGAAGAAGGAGTGCAGAGATGTTAATCACTATTTTATTAGTAGTGGCTCATGCATTTCAACATACAGGAGCCAGGGGTGACTGTCAGGTAGGAGGAGACTGGCCTTAGGGTTGTCTGCCTAGCACTTTACATCGGATAGAAAAAATGTCAGTTGTCCATATCCAAGATGAAGAGGGAGACAAGGCCTCCCAAGCTACCTCTCTGCATTTCCATTGATCCTGAGAAGTCATTTTCCACCTTTTATTACAGGTAGCACGATTGTCTTCATTTCCCCACATGAACTTACTACTTCTAGGAGTTTCAGGAGGAAGTTCATGACCTCTGTAAAGAGTCCCACCCTCACGTGCACTCCTGGTTTGGAATGTTCAAGTGCTGCTTGCACCTGTGCGGGCCTTGGTCTTCTACGGGAAACATCCCGATCCTGCTGTCTTTCATGCTGTCCTGATCCGCATGGATGTGTTTTCTGCCCTTTGTCAAGTTCCGTGTAAGTGTTAGCATACCTCTCCAAGGGCCAGCGTGTCGTCAGTTCACCCACACTCTGCTTTAGACACATTCATCTTTCATGGCTGCAATTTGTATTCTGTCCTCTTCTAGGAATCCAAGGATTGACTCTAGCAAAGCCCTTACGTTCTAGTGGTTCTATCTCCAAAAGAATACCTCGAGTGTTCTTGATTCCTCTGAGTCGTCCCTACATAAACAGAAATACCATCTCTTTAAATGAATCCAAAGGATGGTTTTTAGGACCTTGCTCTTCACAGAAAAGAATTCTCACACCCAATTTTTCTGTTTCCAGTTTCTGCTGTTCTTGAAAGAGAAGGCTGAGGTTCCTATGTTGCCACATTTCTGGGAACCAAACATAAAACTCAGGTGAACACATGAACCCAATCATTGATGTGTGGGTTCCACAACACCGTGGAATCAGGGGTCCCCGAGTGTCCTGATGCAGCTCCCCTCCTGGGTGCACCTCCCTCCCTCTTTCTCTTGTCAAATGAAACACAGAAAATAAAAAGCTCAGGAAGGCTACTGAAAGAACACCTTGTGCCTGGATGTTGGCTGGGGCTCAGTCAGGCCTGGTAAGCTCTTTACAGACATGCTCTGATGTCTAATTCATGAGTTTTTTTGAGACCAGGGCCTGTATTCATTCATCTTTGATTCTTCACCTCCTAGCACAATGCTCAGCACCTAGAAAACATTCAAGAAATACTTGTCGATTCAGTGAGCAAGCACTTATTTGCGCCAGTGCCCCAAAGGGCTGTGCCCATTCACCCAGTTCAAAGACTTCATCCTGATTCATGAGGAATTCTCCTCCACTTTGATGTTGCTGTTGGGATCTGGTGTGTTTCCTGCTTGAACTCTGTTGGTGAGTCTTCAGGACATTTTCTCTGGTCTTCACAGGATCTTCAAGGCTTTCCTGAACTTCCCCTAGTGGGAAACCTGCCGTGGCAGGGCTTGACTTCTCCTTCAAGGAGAGGCTCCTTTTCTGAGTTCTCTTTTGCAAAAGTAGAGCAGACCCACAAGTGGCTTTGGAGGTGGGTCTCCAGTGAGCACACTTCCGCCCTCACTGCTGCCTCTCTGCAGTCACACTCCTGATGTGTGTGTTTCTCTGGTCTGTTCTTCGTCTGGTCTTTCTGGGGCACTTGAGCCTTTGGGTGTGTCAGTGTTCCCGACCCTACCTGTGCCTAAACCCTCCGCAGCTCCCAAGAGTTGCGCCAGATCACCCTGGATGTCACCAGGGAGAGTTAGTTCAACTGTATATGTGAAGTTTTGGTGCTCGTGGGTTAAAAAAATATGAAGAAAGAAATCAATACAAAAAAGAGAAGTCACATTTTAAAAATGCTTCCCACTCCCCACAGTGTGTGGATTGAGGTGGAACAGAGATGGGTGGATTGGTTTCCCCCAGGACCACGCAAAGCCCCCCGGAGTAACAGTGCTCAGT